ACAAACTTCTAAAATGATTCACTAGACGTATATCAGGAGAGCGTAACTCTATAGAAACACTGTACACATACAATTAAAGACGTATTTTAAAATTAACTTTTTATCCAGCTATTTTCTCAAACAAAATGATAAGCCAAAATAAATTTTACATTTTCCCGTTAATTATCCCATTTTACAACAATTCAAATAAATTTTATTTTAAACAATTTTTCCCTTCCGTATTTTCTACAAAATAAGGACTGCTTTAGATAAAATGCAACGATTTACTAACCAAATATTTCAGGAAAAAAAACTGTGTTATCAGTGTCAATTCCTTTTATCTTTCAGCACTTTAGAAGTAACTCTTTTCAACACAAAGGATTCTGTGTCGTTAAAGCTACAGAATGACTAAAAAGAAAGCCTGACTGTTGAGTGACATTTAGAAGAGAAAAAGTGAAAGTTTTTTTTTTTTTTGGATAGTTAATGAGTCAGACGATGCGATTGGTCGAATGAGAATCCTGATTCTTCTAAAAAAAGGCAAGAAATGAAGTAAGAACTGTGATACAAACATCTTAAACAATGAAAAAAAATGCTTTGTTAAGTAAGAAACTAAGTTTTTGCATATTATCCTAAGTACGAAATGGACACCAGTTCCATTTTAAACACATGCAGCTATGTTATTTAGATATAATCAGATTATTATTTTTTTAAAGCAATACAATCTTCTTTTGATTGAAAACTTTTATACAAAGAAATACTAATATTTGTCTCAGAAGCTCGAAAATGTTGTATTATATTGTATGGTACTGAAGAAAATTCACAATTTTGTTTAATAATGTACAATACCGTATAAAATTATACAGTATAAACAATACTGTGCGCGCAGGAAGCTGTGCTGCATCTTTAGTTTAGATGCATTTATTGAAATTCTAATTTTTAGACTAGAATTAGGATAATTTTAATTCCAATATTTTACTCGATTATTCGAATTCTAATATTTTAAAAATCATTGGTATTTTTTTCAGTTTTAGAGATTCTTTGTTATTTTTCAGTGAGTTTTCACAGTTCAAATTGAGGGCTTCAGAATGAAAAATTTTCTTAAGTGGGAATATACAAATAAAATCTTCCCATCTTCCCCCTTTTTATTACTCCCTTTTTTTCACTGAAGAAACAATGCAAAATTTGGAAACTGAGCCTTACATTGCGTTCAAGGTTAGGTTAGGTTATATTAACGTCCCGTTTTGAAGCAACACGAGGGCTATTTAGGGACGGACCTCGTAATTTTGAACCGCGGTCAGATGACGAGGACGACACCTGAGCTGGCACCCCCCTCTCCAAACTTCCGCGCCACACCAACGGGAGGACGTTTGGCCACTACGTATGATTTAGCGTGCAACAGGCCCCATACACGACGGATCTTCAGTGGAATCGGGTTTCGAACCTGCGACCCTCCGGCCCCGAGGTCGAGACCTTACCACTAGGCCACCGCGGCCTCTACATTGCGTTCAAATACTTAGGAAATTTTGTTCACTTATTTGATAAAATTGCCAAATCCTCATTCCAGTCCAATAGTTATATCTTCAAGACATTAATAAATTAGATATAATCTCTTCTTAACGCCTCATCATTCTTATCGATGGACTGTGTCAATATATTATCTGTGGAAGTATATGATGATTTGTTTTTCATGATTCGTGACTGTTGCAATATTACTTACCATAAGACAGTGGTGAATCACAGCCCAAAGATAATTTATTTATGACAGTTCTAAAAGTTATCCTGGCTAGAAAATCGCAAGAACACTTAAAAAGATTAACTAGAAAATAATTGATATTTATCAGTTGGCAATCATTTGTGTCATATGAGAATATTAAGTGGTGGAAAACTAAATCAGGTAAGTTTTTAAATGAGCATAGTTTTACTCTTTTATGTGTACTTCTGTGGAAAGTTCTCATCTCTGTATGGCAATCAGAGGTTGTAAATTTAGAGCACTTCCTGCATAAGAAGTGCCGACCAAAATATGCTAATAACTGCTGCCATATGAAGTATTGTCGAGTGAAAACCACTCTTAAAAATAGATTCCTCTTAAATGATAGCTCAGTAAAACTTTAAAAACATTAACCGTCACTCATTTAACCGGCAGTTTCTGTTATCCGTCATTTTCTAAATATCTAATTCGTCATTTCTTTATATTACTACTTTTATATTGAAGTTTATACTCTTCGTTTTGTAAAATTAAATACATTATGTATGTATTATTCACTTTTAAAGGGTTATATTTTCGTTCTGATCTATTGAGAGAAGTCTGTTATTATTCTATTCGATTATCCGTCATATGTATGGAGAGATGTCTGCTATTATTCTATTCGTTTATCCGTCATATGTATGGAGAGATGTCTGCCATTATTCTATTCGATTATCCGCCA